AATGTAGGGGGTAGATAAAAGTAAATATAGTATATAAAATTCGTGAGAGTGAGCCAATAGTGTTCAGTTTTTCGTCAAATGTAGCAACAAGTCGTTAAGTGATGGATAACGTAATATATTGATTTTACCGTCAATGAATCGAACCATCAAAAACTTATAGCCTGAATAGTGATTAGAAGATATATTTAGAAACTTAATTTATTGTTCCAACACAATTATAAATTTTAATTATTTTACAAAATCCTTCCCTATAATAGGTAAATCCCATTAGATAGATATAGCACTTTTTTTAAATAACCACAACGATACCTCAGAGCCTGTATCTACAACTTGGAGGTAAAGTGCATTACGTTTATTTTTGTGCTAAAGAGAGGTATTTTAACGTAAGGTATGTGAAAGCAATGTGGCCACGTTAAGCGCCTCAAATTTTGCTGCTTATGTATTTCAACATTTGGCCAAATTAACAGTATCATGATGACATTTAACGCTTTCGCTTCATGTTGAAATAGCTATATCACAAAAAAGTGATTCAGGAATGTTTTGTTGTTATTTTACAAAAGCATTGTATTTGGAAGGTAATATGCCCACATGCAGGTTTTATGGCCGTTGTCAAATGAACTTCTTTCTTGTAGCACGACCATGGAACTAGCTATACTAATATATAATATAAATTGCACTCTTACAGTCGAAACTTGCAAAAGTACGGCCTGAAATAAATTGTTTTTTTAAAACAATAGCGCGAGAGTTTACAATAAGTTTATAGAACGTTACAAGGACAGAGCGCCTTCAACGCGTTCTTGATAATAAAAGCTGCGGAGAGTGAATGCGCGAATCAGCAAGTCCGGTTAACGCACTTCTTACACTCTCCCAGACTTCATGCTGACACAATCAATCGGAAATAGTTTCAGCTAACATCATAGAAGCTACTTGGCCATATTACCTGCACTGGTCATATTTGCATCGCTTACCATACTACTAGTTCCAATGCCATTACTCTTTCTGCTTTGTTGAGAACTATGACCAAACGACATTAATAACGAAGGCAGAAACAGTCAAAATGTCAAGTTCGCTTTCATTTAGAGAACACAAGCAATCAAAATGACCTCGTGAAAAAATTGGGTAAATGTAACTTATAGTACCCTTTACCTCTGAGCGACAGAAATATTTCATTAAAATTAATACTAACGGAACAACGGGAAGAAAAAAATTAAACCAACAATTCCAGAGTCAACTGCGACACGTTGATAATGACTATATTTTATCATTCAACACACACTTTAAAATTTGAACATTAAAAATTCTGCAATATAATGCAACTATGATCGTAAAAATGTAAATTTAGTTAAAGTAATTCGAAAAGAGTATTTTGGAACATGACGTTAATGTTAATGCAAGAAGAAAACAAGTTAGGAAATGAAGTAATAATAAATTACTATATTGAAACACGAAAAAAGAAAAATGAAATATACGCTTTGTAATATTTCAAAAACCAATAATAAATTTGGGAAGATTTAACGCACTGAAGGTGTATAGTGTAAGATATAAATTTTCTTAATAGTTGTTGTCACGAATATTCTGGATTACATATTCTACGCGAATCATCTAACAACCCTTTTGGGGGAATTGCAGATAAAAATGGATACGAAGCAAACTCCTGCAAGTAGCTCAAATGTGGTCAATATTGGTTTCGAGAGAGATTTCATAAGGTTTCGAGGCAAGTCCTCGCCCTGTTTGCGTAGGATCTCCTTTCACCCGGAGTCCCC